CTCTGTTTCTCTGATTCACGTATCGTACAATTTGATTGTCTGTTGTGGTGCTTTTGCTAAGTACATGTATTCGTTAACCTGAGGCTTGATTGTTGTAGATAGTGTGAAATAGATTCTCAATTGGTTCTTTTTTTTTTTTATCACTGTCTTTCCCTCCTATTGTTAAAGAAGATGCAAATTCTACGGTCTTGTTGATTTGGTAACATAGTGAAATCAAAATCTGAGTGATTTAATTTGTTAAACTTTTTCTTTCTCATTGATTGATCAAATATAATTGTATCATTATTTATATAAAAAAATGTTATTCAAGTATTTTATAGTTTGTATATTTACAATTACATTTAAGAGAAGTTCTCAAACGAATAATTATTTTCTTTTTCTGCATACTTGTGCATTTGAGGGTGAGGGTATAACAATCATTCACGCTTACTCAAACGGTTCAAGGATTTGGTTGCCAATCGTTATAATCTCTAATGGTATAATTTTAAAATAATAGTCTTAGATTTCTGACAATTTAATAAGTTGTAAAGATTGAATATATTTTGTTCAACTTTCGACCTAATTAACATGTTTTATGATTGGGTTAATTGCAAAAAATACAAGATACATTCACCATTTATTATTTCATGCAACATGTTCTTTCAGTAGTTTAATGTAACCAACTACATTTTCTACCATATTATGCAACAACCACACGATTATATTACTGTTTTATTTGATGTTTTATATTAATTGATTAAATGTTAAGAAACATTAAGCTTGTTACAGGAGATAGTTGTATAAATTGGTGTGTGTGTGTGTGTGTATATTCTTTGCAATCAGGACTTAATTTTTACCTAAGTTTTAAATTTTAAATGTCAAAACATTATCTATAATTCATTTTAGTTTATGAGATGGTTCTTTTTACATTTTAGATCATCAATATATGCTAACAACCTTTCTCAGTGAAATGAATCTAGCATATTCTTGTAATTGCTCAGTCATAGATTTCCAATCAAGTTGCATTGAATTCAATTTCTAATTCGGTCGCTTTTATATGTGTAGGGGCAACTAAAAGTAAAAATATTAAGCAATGGCGATTGTGGATTCAGTTGTTGACCCAACAGGGATTGTTGGTGCCATTATTAACCCAATTGCTCAAACGGCCTTGGTTCCCCTTACAGACCATGTAGGCTACATGATTTCCTGCAGAAAATATGTGAGGGACATGCAAATGAAAATGACAGAGTTAAATACCTCAAGAATCAGTGCAGAGGAACACATTAGCCGGAACACAAGAAATCATCTTCAGATTCCATCTCAAATTAAGGATTGGTTGGACCAAGTAGAAGGGATCAGAGCAAATGTTGCAAACTTTCCAATTGATGTCATCAGTTGTTGTAGTCTCAGGATCAGGCACAAGCTTGGACAGAAAGCCTTCAAGATAACTGAGCAGATCGAAAGTCTAACGAGACAAAATTCGCTGATTATCTGGACTGATGAACCTGTTCCCCTGGGAAGAGTTGGTTCCATGATTGCATCCACCTCTGCAGCATCAAGTGATCATCATGATGTCTTCCCTTCAAGAGAGCAAATTTTTAGGAAAGCACTAGAAGCACTTGAACCCGTCCAAAAATCCCACATAATAGCCTTATGGGGGATGGGCGGAGTGGGGAAGACCACGATGATGAAGAAGCTGAAAGAGGTCGTGGAACAAAAGAAAACATTCAATATTATTGTTCAAGTGGTCATAGGAAAGAAGACAAACCCTATTGCTATCCAGCAAGCTGTAGCAGATTACCTCTCTATAGAGCTGAAAGAAAACACTAAAGAAGCAAGAGCTGATAAGCTTCGTAAACGGTTCGAAGCCGATGGAGGAAAGAATAAGTTCCTTGTAATACTTGACGATGTATGGCAGTTTGTCGATCTTGAAGATATTGGTTTAAGTCCTCTGCCAAATAAAGGTGTCAACTTCAAGGTCTTGTTGACGTCAAGAGATTCACATGTTTGCACTCTGATGGGAGCTGAAGCCAATTCAATTCTCAATATAAAAGTTTTAAAAGATGTAGAAGGAAAAAGTTTGTTCCGCCAGTTTGCTAAAAATGCGGGTGATGATGACCTGGATCCTGCTTTCATTGGGATAGCAGATAGTATTGCAAGTAGATGTCAAGGTTTGCCCATTGCCATCAAAACCATTGCCTTAAGTCTTAAAGGTAGAAGCAAGTCTGCATGGGACGTCGCACTTTCTCGTCTGGAGAATCATAAGATTGGTAGTGAAGAAGTTTTTAAAATTAGCTATGACAATCTCCAAGATGAGGTTACTAAATCTATTTTTTTACTCTGTGCTTTATTTCCTGAAGATTTTGATATTCCTATTGAGGAGTTGGTGAGGTATGGGTGGGGCTTGAAATTATTTATAGAAGCAAAAACTATAAGAGAAGCAAGAAACAGGCTCAACAACTGCACTGAGCGGCTTAGGGAGACAAATTTGTTATTTGGAAGTGATGACGTTGGGTGCGTCAAGATGCACGATGTGGTGCGTGATTTTGTTTTGCATATGTTTTCAGAAGTCAAGCATGCTTCAATTGTCAACCATGGTAACATGTCAGAGTGGCCAGAGAAAAATGATACCAGCAACTCTTGTAAAAGAATTTCATTAACATGCAAGGGTATGTCTAAGTTTCCTAAAGACATCAACTATCCAAACCTTTCGATTTTGAAACTTATGCATGGAGATAAGTCGCTGTGCTTTCCTGAAAACTTTTATGGAAAGATGGAAAAGGTTCAGGTAATATCATATGATAAATTGATGTATCCATTGCTTCCCTCATCACTTGAATGCTCCACTAACGTTCGAGTGCTTCATCTCCATTATTGTTCATTAAGGATGTTTGATTGCTCTTCAATTGGTAATCTTCTCAACATGGAAGTGCTCAGCTTTGCTAATTCTAACATTGAATGGTTACCATCTACAATTGGAAATTTGAAGAAGCTAAGGCTACTAGATTTGACAAATTGTAAAGGTCTTCGTATAGATAATGGTGTCTTAAAAAATTTGGTCAAACTTGAAGAGCTTTATATGGGTGTTAATCGTTCGTATGGACAGGCCGTTAGCTTGACAGATGAAAACTGCAATGAAATGGTAGAAGGTTCAAAAAACCTTCTTGCACTAGAATATGGGTTGTTTAAATACAATGCTCAAGTGAAGAATATATCCTTCGAGAATCTTAAACGATTCAAGATCTCAGTGGGATGTTCTTTACATGGATCTTTCAGTAAAAGCAGGCACTCATACGAAAACACGTTGAAGTTGGCCATTGACAAAGGCGAACTATTGGAATCCCGAATGAACGGGTTGTTTGAGAAAACGGAGGTTCTTTGTTTAAGTGTGGGGGATATGTATCATCTTTCAGATGTTAAGGTGAAGTCCTCTTCGTTCTACAATTTAAGAGTCCTTGTCGTTTCAGAGTGTGCAGAGTTGAAACACCTCTTCACACTTGGTGTTGCAAATACTTTGTCAAAGCTTGAGCATCTTGAAGTCTACAAATGCGATAATATGGAAGAACTCATACATACCGGGGGTAGTGAAGGAGATACAATTACATTCCCCAAGCTGAAGCTTTTATATTTGCATGGGCTGCCAAACCTATTGGGTTTGTGTCTTAATGTCAACGCAATTGAGCTACCAGAACTTGTGCAAATGAAGCTTTACAGCATTCCGGGTTTCACAAGCATTTATCCGCGGAACAAGTTGGAAGCATCTAGTTTGTTGAAAGAAGAGGTACATATACATATAGTTTATGTTAATACATTTTAAACAATCTTTTCAACTAAAAGTTTCAGAATATATCTGTATTTTGATTGTATGATGTGTTAGTGTTTGGATGTGGCTATTAAAGGATAATTATTTGGCAGGTTGTGATTCCTAAGTTGGATATACTTGAAATTCATGACATGGAGAATTTAAAGGAAATATGGCCTAGTGAGCTTAGTAGAGGTGAGAAAGTTAAGTTGAGAGAGATTAAAGTGAGAAATTGTGATAAACTTGTGAATCTATTTCCACACAATCCCATGTCTCTGCTGCATCATCTTGAAGAGCTTATAGTCGAGAAATGTGGTTCCATTGAAGAGTTGTTCAACATCGACTTGGATTGTGCCAGTGTAATTGGAGAAGAAGACAACAACAGCAGCTTAAGAAACATCAAAGTGGAGAATTCAATGAAGCTAAGAGAGGTGTGGAGGATAAAAGGTGCAGATAACTCTCGTCCCCTCTTTCGTGGCTTTCAAGCTGTTGAAAAGATAATCATTACGAGATGTAAGAGGTTTACAAATGTATTCACACCTATCACCACCAATTTTGATCTGGGGGCACTTTTGGAGATTTCAGTTGATTGTAGAGGAAATGGTGAATCAGACCAGAGTAACCAAGAGCAAGAGCAGGTATGGATTTCAATTTTACTCTCTTACTTAATTAATGATTAAGCCCCTGCTTTTTAATAAAAAGGGGACAAACCATTTTTTGACTTAATGTTGCAATACAAGTCATGTATAAGAGTGACTAACTTTTTTTTATTTATAAAATAACTACAAAACATGTTTTTTCATTATAGATCATGTATAAATGTGACTAATTTTTTTCATCACCTAACTTCTGTTGATAAATCATTAGAAATGTCACTAATTACTTTTTAGTATTTATAAAATAACTACAAAACATGTTTTTTCATTATAGATCATGTATATATCAACTAAAAATATTGTTCCCTTACACACCAAAAAAAAAAAAGGTTCGAGAAAGCCTGTATTTCGAAATAACTAAAAAGAAAATATTTGACATTCACTAAGAGAAATTTTTTTCTAAACATGATCGCAAATGATTAAAACTTAAATTAAAACTAAAAAGATTTTTATATATGTTATACAAAATTAAAATTTGAAATTAAGTTTATAATTCTTGTATCACAAAGGGATATATATAGTAAAATATTATTTTTTTGCAGTCATGCATAGTTGTATTTTTAAATGATTTATTAACGTGGTAGGAGTGGAAACCACTCAATCTAGTAGACCCACTATCACATATCGCATCAGCTTTACATCTATTTTTCTTTCTCCTTTTTTGATCTTTTTAAACTCATAACACATAAAAATAATATATTTTCCAACACACTCAACTCATTGTCACATTATTATTTTTAATTTAATTAAATTAGAAAATATAAAATTAAATAAAACATAACATTTTTTAATTAAAAAATATTAATACAAATAAAAAAATACACGATAAATAAAAAAAGATAATTAGAAAAAAAAAACATAATAAAAAAAAAGACAACATTAAAAATAAAAAAGCAACAATTAAAATTAAATAATAATCAAGAAAATTTTAAAACTCCTAACCATATTTTTATGTAATTTGTCGTTTCCGTTCAAACACCATTCGTAGAATCCCTTTTGTCAAGTGATCATGCGGGTTGAGAAAAAACTTCATGTCTCTCTCATGTATCTTCAGGTCCAACAATTTAGTTTTCCTTTCTTCATTTTTTTTCGTGTAAGATGCAATTTTTCATCCCTATATCATTTTCTCTCTTTCACCTCTACCTTGTTCACAATGTGGATGCCGATAATTTCGTTGACCGGATCAATGATTTAATTTGGTGTTGATGCTTCAGATGCTGCTTTCTTTCCTTTTCGTTGTCTCCGAGGCGGTGAGTTCAATTTTTGGTGTTGTTGGTCGAACCCCGGTGGAAATTATGCATCTGAAGATGTTGTATATGCATTGGATGAAGAAGTTTTGTACGAAATCATCTTCACCCAAAATTTTCATTCTCTCTCCCCTTTTTCATTCTTTCTCCCCTTCGTACGAAATCATCTTCACCCAAAATTTTCTCTCTCCTCTTCGTATGAAACTTCATTGCACCATATTAACGAATTTTTCTCTTTCAATCTAACGAACACGAAGCATACGAAGCCTATCCAATGAACAGTAATGAACAGTAACCTCTTAGTCATTCATCCAACCTCTGAATCGACTCATCGTATCCAAACACAGGGACCCTTTGTACATTAACACAGTTCTTTCCAAAATCATCTTTCCTGTAGACGCGAATGAACACACATACAGGCACGAAATCAACTCCAAATCATAATTCACACACAGATTCGAACAACAATCCCTTGATTCCAAAATTGAAGATTATTTCGACCATAAGCACTTAATACGATTCCAAAAATCCATTAAAATCGAAACCTTCTTCTATTGTTCGCTTCATTTGCCGGTTCCAAAATAGAATCATTGACTCCAGACGTTCTTTGACTTTCGTTCCTTTCACAAGCAGCTAACTCAATCTTCGGATATAATCGTTTTTCAGTCATCAACCCAAATCAACACTAATTTAGCTTGATTTCGAAATCATGGGTCATATATTGATTCAGATGAACAGTATTGGATCAAATATTTGTTTGGAATGGGCTTGTGTATTGATAATCAACGGATTGTCATTAAATTGGGCTTCAAAATGTTTTGATGAATAGTAGCAAACGTATGTTTTAATTCATTTAGAACTAAAGTTGAATCCAAATGAGCAATTGTAATAATTTGAGAATCGAATCAAATACATGAATATTGGATTGGATTGGGGCTTGATCAGTGAAAAATTATTGGATCATAACAAGTGGGTTTTTAAAAAAAAAATTATTCAACGAGTCAAAATGATCAAAATTTCAAGAATGTAACGCACGAATCAAAGAGATTAAGAGAGATCATAGAGAGAGACTCGCCATAAATTGCTCCAATTGTGACAAATATTGCCAAACCGAGAATCGTTTTTCAAAAAATCAAGTTGATCTTGAAGAGCCGCTCTGATACCAATTGTAGTGACATAAGAACATGGTTTGGCATGCGGAATTAAAGATTGCACAATGAACATGGTGATTTGGGTGTTCAAGAGATGTATTTATTGTATATGGTGTTACACAAAAAGGATCTAGATCTAGACTACATAAATAACACACACTTACACACTCATTTTTACATCTCTCAAGCACACCTCTACAAGTGGTATGAACCCACTATTTATAGAGGTGTTTACATGTCTCTCTCTCACTCTCTATCTCTCATGTGTCACAAGGCTAATACTCCACATGCAAGTGGGTTTTACAAAAGTCAAACATTACAAAATCATTCAAGGAAAACTTTGTACCCCAACACTCATACATTAGGCATATAAGGCATCCTTCCTAGATCCTTAGCCTTAATCTAGCATATAGTTCTCATAATCATATAATATAACATAACATAACATGTATGGGTATCTTGGGGAAAACTTACTTGAGCTCGGCTGGTCGCATGCATCACACACCTTGTTCTTTCTCAAAACTCCTTATTTTTAAATTTTAGAAAACTATTTTCTCATAAAAATCTTTCAAGCCCTCGCTTTAAGTCCAGACACCCCCGAAGGTGTGTCCGAATCCCTCAAACCAAAGCTCTGATACCAACTTGTAACATCCCAAAACCGAGACCGGAAATTTTGTTTTGAATTATGTTACTTATAAAATAGTTCATGGAAAACATCATCGATATCATATCAAACCATAAAATCACAGTCACATGTCTCAAAAATCATATCATCAAATAGTAATAATGTTAGAGTACAATCCCAGGGATCTCAAATACGGAAATCATGTGTGTGCGATGCACTGCTACCCTGTCGGCTCCTTCCCCTTTGACGCAGAGGTACCTGAAAGCAAAACTAAAAACAGTAAGCACAAAGCTTAATGAGTTCCCCCATTATACCACATACCATATAATATACATACTGTCGAGCGATTCTGGGGTGCCCAACCTACCCCTGTCAAGCAGTTCTGGGGTGCTGACCTACCCATGTCAAGCAGTTCCGGGGTGCTGACCAACCCATGTCAAGCAGTTCTGGGGTGCTGACCTACCCATGTCAGGCCATTCTGGGGTGCTGACCTACCCGCCGGTCTATCTCAACAGGCTATAGGGACTCTTTCACCCCTTACTACTACCACACAATAACATATCATAATCATATCGCCAGGCATATCTGGGGTGCTTGACCTACCCTTTGATCCTAACGGCCGAACTTGGGATTATTCCCCTCCTACTACCACTATCACATATAACATATCATGCTAGCACATAAGACACATCAGGTAGTAGCAAACCTAGATAATTATCACAAAGACAATCATCTATCAACACTCCTACTGGTGGGCCAACATTGTGGCAGTAGACCCACCTCTACTGGAAGGTAACTCACCTCAATGTTGTGTATTATCTGCACTTTCCTCGGTACTGGGATCAACTTTTCTAAAATCCTCAAACTCCTACACAACAACCTTTCTTAATTACCATTTCATACTCATAACCCTTTCAAGGGTCAACTCAAGTCCAAGTTAAAGTCAAGGTCAAAACCTTGGTTAAAGTCAACTTTGGTCAAAGTCAACATCTACTTGACTCACCTCACCGAGTTGGTCCACCAACTTGTCGAGTCCCTTAATCCACAAACTTCAAGAACTTCGATCCTACTCGTCGAGTCTTTCAAGAACTCTTCGAGTTTCCCTTACACAGAATCGGGACCTTTTGCTCATGACTCGCCGAGTTCATCCTTGAACTTGTCGAGTCTAGCTTCATACGAGTTGGAGTGTTTAGTCCTTGACTCGTCGAGTTCTTCCTTGAACTCGTCGAGTCCATCTTCGTATAGTTGGGACATTGCCTTGAACTCACCGAGTTCATCATTGAACTCATCGAGTCCTTCGATCTTCAAGTCCATAATCATGTCCATCTTGTTGAGTCCTCTTCTAGACTCAACCAGATTCCTCAGAAACAGAAAAGGTTAGGGAACCATTACCTGACTCGCCGAGTCCCAAGAACGAATCCCCGAGTCCCCCAATGTCCATGACCATACAGTCGATTTTCGTTGGGCTCATTGCATCCAAAGCATAGATCTAACCTCCTAGGGTCCATATTACACGTAAAGCTACGAACTTGACGTCCATGCATGGGGGATTTGGCTCAAATGGCATTAAAATGGGGTTTATCTGATGCATGGGACTCCCATGGCCATAAAGTTAGCACCTTTATGCCATGGGAACCCTCAATGGTTCCATATCTGAAGTTAACACTCTACAATATGTTCTAAACCCGAAGGTGGCTTAGAAATGCCCCAAAATGGCAAGATTCAAGCCTTAAAGGAGATCTAACAAATGATAAGTCAAGGTTCAAGCTTTTTACCTTGAATAAGCTGGAAATGAAGCAAAATCTCTGGATCCACTTGCTTTTTCAAGAACCCCCAAGCTTCCACTTCTTTCTTCAAGCTTCAAACAACTTTAAACACTCAAAAATGGCTCAAGAACACTCAAAAAGCTTTAGGGTTTCGAGTTAGGGCTTTTTGGAAGCGAGAGGGACGATGGAGGCTGAAATGAGGCTAGAAAAAGTGTTTAAATAGGGGGCAAACCCTAAATATTAGGGTTTCATCCAGGCAGCCCTACTCGTCGAGTCGGGCTCCCGACTCGTCGAGTAAGTCACTTAAAACCCGCATCCATAATCCAGTCTACTCGACGAGTTGGGCCTCCAACTCGCCGATTCCCAGTGCAAAACGTTCAATTACTTAAATTTAAATACGTACCAGGAACCGAGTGTTACAGTTGAGACTTTATACCTCCATAAGATAGATCTAGGTGCACATAGCCTGGATCCACAAGCTCCATGTCAACAAGCGACTCTTCAAGAAGTTCATTCTTCCTCCTTAAGCACCAAAAAACACACAAAATCACCATGAAGCTCAAGAAATACTCAAATAGAGGATAGGGTTTCGTTCGTAGGGTTAGAGAGGATGGGGGCTGGAGGAAATGAGGGTTAGAGGCGAGTTAAGGTCTTTAAATAGGGTCCAAGACCCTAAATTAGGGTTTTAATCTGGCCAGACGAACGCAGGGTGTTCCCAAATGCACATGTGTCCAAATTCCCGTGTGCGCCATTCGTACCTCCCTTGTACGCCATGTGTACCGGGTTTGGTCCAAACCCTTCTAACTTCAAATGATCATAACTTGCACCCCTTATCTGTTTTCGATGTTCTTTATATCCACGGAAAGGTAACAAGAAGCCTTATATTTCTATAAACTTTATTTAATCTGAAAACCAACCGAAATTAAATCCAAAATTCATAAAAGTCCCGAACCAACACATTTACCGATACCCTTGGGCTCCATAACACAAATTGAAAACCCGGATCATCCAAACTACATCATCCACCTCCAAATGAGCCCAAACTCAATTATTCAAGGGTTCTAAGCCTGTTAATGCCCACTCCTCGATTACCACCCCGCAATGGGAAACGATTCAAAACAGGGCGTTACATAATTTGTTGTGGTTTTGTATTTTTTATTTCCGGTGACAGGATACCTACCGACGACCTTTTGTATTTTTTAGGAAGAGTGAAGGAATGAATTTTATATTTGATTTTCGAAGAGCTTAATATCTAATTTTTTTAGTAAGCTTAGTCTTGATTGTTTCCATAATTTATGGTTTTTTTTTTTTGTTATTTATTGATTTAGTTCCTAATATATTTGATTTTCTAGGATACATATATTTGAAAACCTCAGGGGCCATGAGATTGGTCCTTTTATTTCTTGGATTTAGTTACATGTATACATGTATTAATAAGGCAAAAAAAAAACAGGGTGGTCATGACCCCTGGCCCCATAGAGGTTCCACCATTACTTAAGTCATAAAGTTCCTGACTTTATGACTTTGCATGGTTTAATGGGGTCTAAACCATAATCTAAGCTTCATAGTCTACACTTCTATCAACTCACTCTTACCATAAAACTTTTCGAACTTTAATCCAAATTTCATAAAAGGTCCGAACTATCACTTTACGGTTATACCCTTAGGCTCCAAAACTCTAACCGAACTCTTGGATCACCTAATCTATATTATCCACACCCAAAGGAGATCTAAATCTCTCCTTCCCCAAGGCCCAAAGCATTATTATAATTAATCTTCGGCTCACGGCTCCGAATTAGGAAATGATTCGAAAGCCGATGACACATTTTTTCTTTTATGTAGTGGCACAATAGTACATAAAAACAAAAACAAAAAATCGAAAAAAATTACATTGCGTCCGAAAAAGACAGGGGTTGTCGATGCCACTATGGGCACTATAGTTGAACTGCCCCTGCGCGCGCGCGCACACACACACACACACACACATATATATATATATATATATATATATATATATATATATAGAGAGAGAGAGAGAGAGAGAGAGAGAGAGAGAGAGGGATGTGATACTTCTTTTGGGAGAATGGGACAGAATCTTTAATATTGTATTTTTTTAATGTAATTTATATATTTAATCATTTTAGTTTATAAGTTTTATATATTGTTTATATGAAGACAAAAAAAGTCTTTTATATATATTGGATTTAACATAAAAATCTAGCAATGTTAATGAAAGACCAAAAAATGTGGACAATTTGTATCACATTATATCAAAATTTAAGGAAGAACGGTAATAGATTGACAACCACATTAACTAGAAATGTAATTTTTTTTTTTTTTTTTTTGATAATTTTTAATACTTTGTTGTGATCTATGCATTTAAAATTAAATAGCAAACAAAATCCAAAACCCTAAATTGCAAGTCTCACCCAATTTCTCTCTCACTAGTCGTCACTTACGATGGCGTTACGTCGCTCTCTCACTGCCTACGATCCCTTGCTGCTGCTCATTACAATAACGAAAAGTTGAATATCCATATATTTGTAATTTATCGATCACTTCAAAGTTTTTGATCAAAAGGGTGAGTATTTGGAAGTGAAATCGAACGAATCTTGTCAAATTTTTGATTTTGTTGATGGATTTGAGTGGAGGTTTGGGCAGAACGGGAATGTTGGTCTGCAAGTGGTTATAAACATGGTTGAAGATAAAATGGAGGTGTCACCGTTGTATTATAGATCTCTTAGGTTCTTGAGTATGATTTATTACTATAATGCTTGGAATTACAATCCATCCATATACGTAGCCTCTTTACAACGGCCAACGGCCAAGGTTTCTTCCAGGTACCATTTGATCTTTTAGAATCCAGTTGTCTGAAACACCCTGATTTGGATCAAATATTGACCAACAACTCCTAAGTTCTGGATTAATCAATTGTTTTCTTGATCTTGATAACAAGTGGAATGATTTTCTACTTCAAATTGATAAAAATCTACTACATTATAATTAGATTAGCTTGAAAAAAAAAGGTCCAGGTGCGTTTGGTGGGTCTGGTAAAGGAATCTTTTATTTTAAACAAATTTGCTTTCATCCCATTTCTTTCTCTCTTGATCTGTTCATGATGGTTTGTGGGGTGGATAAGTTACACCTGGGAGCGATGGGAAGGGGTATGTGATTTACAAAGGAGGTGACTTGGTTTATGGTTGGCCGAGTTTGATTTATATAAACAAATAAATATATAAAACAAGGGGTAAAATGGTCATCTTATATGTATTTAAGCGACCTCTTTTAATGGTGACCAGTTTTACAGTTTACTCTCTTTGTTTTTTAATTGTGATGCCCAAGACCGAACTCATTCATCTTCTTTTTTTTTGTTATTATTTTTTTATTTTATAATTTTAGAAGGGTACCACCATACTAGTGTCAGCTTCTTATTCCCAAGCAGTCAAATAGGGACTTAGGTTGTATGGAAACGGTTCCGTGACTTGGATGGCAGATAAATTTAGTAAACTTAACCCTTCAATTAACCTACCTTTTTCTTATTAACTCAATTTCAACCTAAATTCTGATTCTTGTTTGAAAATAAGTTGCATTTTTATTTTTGTATTATCTTGTTGCATAGGATCCTTAGCATCTTTTAATAATTTATTTGAAGGTGAAAGATCAAACTATTTTTTAGCTGTTGGCATTTTCCATCATTTGCAACTGTTTCTTGAAAAAAAAAATACCTAAAATCAAAATAACCATTTTCAAATCCAAAATTATAAGATAGAATTGTTAATGGACCTGGAATCATAGATCATTAACACAGTTCAGTAAACAAGTTGCTAATTACATTTCTTGCTGTGCAGATTGAAATTCTATCAGAGAAAGAGACATTACAAGAAGCCACTGACAGTATTTCTAATGTTGTATTCCCATCCTGTCTCATGCACTCTTTTCATAACCTCCATATGCTTGCATTGAGTAATTATGAAGGAGTGGAGGTGGTGTTTGAGATAGAGAGTGAGAGTCCAACAAGTAGAGAATTGGTAACAACTCACCATAACCAACATTCTATATTTCCCTACCTCCAGGAATTGTATCTAAGGAATATGGACAACACGAGTCATGTGTGGAAGTGCAGCAACTGGAATAAATTCTTCACTCTTCCAAAACAACAATCAGAATCCCCATTCCACAACCTCACAACCATAAATATTGATTTTTGCAGAAGCATTAAGTACTTGTTTTCACCTCTCATGGCAGAACTTCTTTCCAACCTAAAGAAAGTCAGGATAGATGGTTGTTATGGTATTGAAGAAGTTGTTTCAAAGAGAGATGATGAGGATGAAGAAATGACTACATTTACATCTACCCACACAACCACCAACTTGTTCCCTCATCTTGATTCTCTCACTCTAAAATACATGCACTGTCTGAAGTGTATTGGTGGAGGTGGTGCCAAGGATGAGGGGAGCAATGAAATATCTTTCAATAATACCACTGCAACTACTGCTGTTCTTGATCAATTTGAGGTATGCTTTGTACATATTCAATTATTTATTTAATTTCCTTTTTTCTTTGCAATATTCTATGAAAAAAATCACCAAATCATAAATAAGAGATTTAAACTTTTATTTCACACCCATGCGGACTCAAGAATGGGATTTGGAGGCATATAAAGTTACATTCATTTGAACAAGTATTACCTTTTATTTGTTATTTATCATTTTCATAACATTTACTGATAACATTTCTTTTTTATTTTTCTAATTAGAAAAGGTCCACATGTCTAATTAGGTTTTCCATTCTATGTGAAACCTCTATTCAGTCTGTAATCAAGCATCTTAGATTATTTATCCATTTTCATAACTATGTTTATTTTGACAGTTTATTATTATTATTATTATTATTATTATTATTATTATTATTATTATTATTATTTTTTATATATATAGTTGTAATTGCAACCTGTTCTATATTCAAGTCTTAATGTGCATTTTATACCCACTATACTAAGATAATAATTACCTAGAGGGATGGATGCCATGACACAGCTGCTACACTTCAGAAACTCTAGTAAGGGCAGTTATGGAAGTTCAATAAAATGATAATGGCATCTTCTGATGGGTAATATAGGCAAAACTATTTTTTCTAAGGTTATTCTGTTAAATATGTGCTTTCTTGTTTTCATTGAATTTGCATTCGTATATTTTAGGTGTTAAAGTGATTTTCTCTTCAATAAATCCCGAAATTAATTAAAAAAAAACAAAAGTACATTTTTGATGTGGAGAGCACTGGTATCATTTAGTATATAAAAAGCTAGATTTTGAATTAACTTTCTTATACAAAAGCTGTGTATATAGTTTAATTAGTTTTACATCATTTTTCCATGTGGTGTTGCAGTTGTCTGAAGCAGGTGGTGTTTCTTGGAGCTTATGCCAATACGCTAGAGAGATAAAAATAGGCAACTGCCATGCATTGTCAAGTGTGATTCCATGTTATGCAGCAGGACAAATGCAAAAGCTTCAAGTGCTGACAGTAAAGTATTGCAATGGGATGAAGGAGGTATTTGAAACTCAATTAGGGACGAGCAGCAACAAAAACAACGAGAAGAGTGGTTGTGAGGAAGGAAATGGTGGAATTCCAAGAGTAAATAACAATGTTATTATGCTTCCCAATCTAAAGATATTAAGAATTGAAAATTGTTGGGGTTTGGAACATATATTCACATTCTCTGCACTTGAAAGCCTGAGACAGCTGGAACAGTTAACGGTAAGATATTGCTTCGGAATGAAAGTGATTGTGAAGAAGGAAGAAGATGAATATGGAGAGCAGCAAACAACAACAACGAAGGGGGCATCTTCTTCTTATTCTTCTTCTTCTTCTTCTTCTTCTTCTTCTTCTAAGAAGGTTGTGGTCTTTCCTCGTCTCAAGTACATTGCACTAGATGATCTACTAGAGCTGGAGGGTTTCTTCTTGGGGAAGAATGAGTTCCAGATGCCTTCATTAGATAAACTTATCATCAAGAAATGCCCAGAAATGATGGTGTTTACAGCTGGTGGGTCCACAGCTCCCCAACTCAAGTATATACACACAGAATTAGGCAGACATGCTCTTGATCAAGAATCTGGCCTTAACTTTCATCAGGTATATATATTTCTTTAATTGGCATCATCTAATTAAGAAAGATATCATTCCTGCCAAGTAAATTTACTTCAAACACATTCACACTGGTTTCAGTCTAAGTTTATGTTGTTCTAAGAAGGCCAAAATGGGAAAGCAAGATAGGGAAAAATAGTGTATTTCAGTGGAAAGGGTATTTTAGGTATTTTCTGTCAAAAGTTGTTATTGCAGTCTTTTTAGTACCTGGAATCGTGTGTGGGAGGAGCATTATTATTCTGATTTGCTTGTTTCTTTATCATTTTTTCTTAGCCTCTCGAACAGCTAGAAACCCTTTTAATCTTTTGATTTTCAATGACAAAATTTTTCCCTGTTACTCTATTTGATTGTTGTTCTTCATGGTTCTAAGTGAGTTATTGGCTCATCTGTTACTTCTTTTGATTGTTGTTTTCATATCATGTTAGTCACTTGAATCAAGCTTTTTCATTTTCAACCAGGGCAAAAGGTCAAAAGTAACCTACTTTATGAGATCAAAAACAGCAACCCATCGGATAACTTTTAGTTGGAGTTAATAGTTACAATTACCATTGTGATTAATAATTATAATATCTTGTATTAATTCATAAAAATTGGTACAGCACATATATGACATTTCAAAGGTTTTTGTTTGACATATATATGCCTCTGGCGTTTTCTTTATTGGACTTGCAGACCTCATTCCAAAGTTTATACGGTGACACCTCGGGCCCTGCTACTTCAGAAGGGACAACTTGGTCTTTTCATAACTTGATCGAATTAGATGTAAAATATAATATGGATGTTAAAAAGATTATTCCATCCAGTGAGTTGCTGCAACTGCAAAAGCTGGAAAAGATTCTTGTAAGCTGGTGTGATGGGGTAGAGGAGGTATTTGAAACTGCATTGGAAGCAGCAGGGAGAAATGGAAATAGTGGAAGTGGAAGTGGTTTTGATGAATCATCACAAATAACTACTACTACTCTTGTCAATCTTCCAAACCTTGGAGAAATGAAGTTAGAGTATCTCAATGGTCTGAGGTATATATGGAAGAGCAATCAGTGGACAGCATTTGAGTTTCCAAACCTAACAAGAGTTGATATCTATAAATGTAAAAGGTTAGAACATGTATTTACTAGTTCCATGGTTGGTAGTCTATTGCAACTCCAAAAGCTACGCATATGGAACTGCAGTCAGATAGAGGTCGTGATTGTTCAGGATGCAGATGTTTGTGTAGAAGAAGACAAAGAGAAAGAATCTGATGGCAAGACGAATAAGGAGATACTTGTGTTACCTCGTCTAAAGTCCTTGATATTAAAACACCTTCCATGTCTTAAGGGGTTTAGCTTGGGGAAGGAGGATTTTTCATTCCCATTATTGGATACTTTGGAAATCTACGAATGCCCAGCAATAACCACCTTCACCAAGGGAAATTCCGCTACTCCACAGCTAAAAGAAATTAAAACAAATTTTGGCTTCTTTTATGCTGCAGGGGAAAAAGACATCAACTCCTCTATTATAAAGATCAAACAACAGGTAAACCAGATCTTTGTTGCTTTAATAATTCTTAAACTACATTTGAAAAGCTTCATGCAAGTTTTTTTTGTTATATTGTCAAAAACCGCAACCTACATTTTCAGCTTTATATTTATGTACTTTATGCAGGATTTCAAACAAGACTCTGATTAATGTGAAGTGAATATTAAAGGTAAATTATATTTTCATGTTCCTAGTTGCCTATTAATTAAAGGCCTTTTAGTTCGTGATTTTTGGATGTATTCTTCATGATGATGTCAATCTTCTAATACCCCATTCATTGTTTGGTTGAATGTTGACTCTATGTCAGGATGAATATTCAAGGGAAGAATTGTTCATCATATGAAGGACATTAAAGAACATGGATGCTATGAAGATGTTGGGAAAACATATGTATCAAGTGGCAAGCTGCTTAATGATCTAAGTTTGTTGGTTGAGGATGTTGATTTTAATATTTCAAATTCATTGGTATCATTATATGGGCTTATCAATAGTGTTAATGGGATAATGAGTGACTTAACCTAAATTATGTTGTTGGTAAATGTTGGACAAGTATGGAAAATTAGGAATGACTTGTGAAAAATATATGGAAAAGTATTATGAAACTATATATAGTATATAAATTAATGCAACATACTCTTGGAAGCACATATCATGAGAGTAACTAGAAGTAGACGTTAGCTAATCGGTGGACTGGGGTCTAGGGATTAACCGGTTAGGCGGGGATTAATCGGGGACCATTAATTATTAATGAAATTATTCAATAATTTATAAATCTAACTTTAATCATAAGAATATTAATAAATAAGCATAAAAGTTTAATAATAAGTTTAACAAATACAACAATTTATCATCCAATTAATAAGAAAAATTACTCAAATTTTAATATATCTTAAGAAAAGAAGTAAATTTAGGTATTTGCATATTAGAAAACATAGAAATTTTGACAATTTTGGAGAAAAACTTTAAAATTTAATTTTTAATTTTTTTATATATTAGTTGAACACTAAAATACTATGAACTTTTGAAATTTTGAAAATTTTGGTTTAATATTTAAAAATTTGAAAATTTGGCCAATTAGGCCGCCTAGGACCGATTAGAACGTCTAGTTCCGACTTTGACCACCTTTGACCAAAACCGATTAAACCGACCGATTAGCCTTAATCCTATTCAGTTGAAGACAGCCTAATGATTAATCCCCAATTAATCGGCCGTCTAGACCGATTTTTACAACAATGGTTTATTCCCATCTTCAACTACTTATAGTTTCCATTTCTTACCTGCAAAAATCTGATTAAACTTTAGAGTCATTTCTTTTTTGCCAACCAAGAAAAGAGATTGATGCAAATTTTCATATAAAGACCACAAGTAACGGTAAGTATAAAAACGATCACTAAATAGTGACTACAATATACTGATCATTAAATATTTACAAACTTTTTCGTCATTTAATGTTGTCACTAATCAATGAAATATTTTACCTAATTAGTGACAACTAAAAGTTGTCACTGTCTTATCCAATTAGTGACCACAGAAAGTTGTCACTGGTTTATCCGACTTGTGACCAAAAAAGTCGTCATTGATTTATCCAATTAGTTACAAAAAAAAAACTCGTCATTGATTTTTGTTGTTTTTTGCATTTAACCAATTTAAGTAACAAGCATGGAACTTGGTAAATGGTAAAGATATTTCATGAGCAATTTAAAAATATAAAACTTGTCCTCAAATTATAAAAACGAAAGGTTGGGGGGTAATTATTTTCCCTTTGGCATTGTCTCAATTATGCAAACTTACATCATGTCCTCAATAAAACCTTAACACAACTTTCCAACAAATTACATAAACAGAAAACGAAAAAAAAAAAATTCAACTCTTCGGGTTATTCAAACAACATGTTTGCTTCAAGACGATTTTTTTTTTCTGCAATAACTGTCTCATCTGTTTGCAGCCTCTATAAGCAATCCCCCCAAGTCAATCTACAATCTATATAAGATAATTCACATGTATTTGATACCCTACCACAAGCTAAAAGCATCATCACAAATAATTAATGTCAAAATAATATTCAAATGGAGAATCATGTTGCCTATACACTCTCAAACACGGAACACCTAAATAAGGTTATGACAAATAATATTTTTTTAGTTTATAAAAAATTAAAAATTATAATTTGGCTAAAAGAATTAATTTTCTTTTACAAATATTTAAATCACTAAAAATTACACGGTTAAAATTGGTTATATTGCAATTTTTCATTCCATTCAATGATGGAATGAAAAGAAATCACTCCCTCTAATAAGGATTGAGAAATAACAAAAAGGAAGGAATCACATTTCCTCTATAATGCTCACATTCCATTCCGTCAGCCAATTCAAAATGGTTTTTTCATTAAAAATTTTTTTTTTCATTAAAATGGAATGAACCATTTCCTTTTTTTCTAATTAAGTAAATTTAGAATCTTACATGATTAAGTGGATTATCCTCTAGTGGGCTTGAATAAGCTTTTTCAGCCTCAACCCATGCCCTTTGCTTTAAGTAACATTTCTTCTAACCTTCCTACAATAATCAACTGGTTAATTTTTTTTTAAAGCACAACACCTTAATAAAAAAGAAAGTAGAAAGTAAAGTAATGATTAATTTCTGAGCAGGGGCAAAATGGTTATAAAAATAATTGGAAGTGCAATGCATTTTCACCCAAAAAATATCTTTTATAAACTTTTCTTATGTCAATTGTCAAACTCAACAAATTTGTAAACTGTAAGGATACCCTTTTTTCTAATGAAACCAATCCCCATCAAAGTGCATCCAAAATCAAAATTAACACAACTAGAGGATTAGAATTATAGTTACACCAGGTCTTAGATCCATTAAACTCCAAAAAAAGGACCAAAATACCCCTTGGAATTTTTATTGTACCGGATCTTTAGAACATAAACCAACTCTTTCTAATCCCTTTCCAACCATAGTCACGGTGTTTTATACAGTCTTGAATATACATGTTGCATTTAACAGTAACCTACAAAAGACAACAATGCCCTTTGTTTTTATTTTCGCACCAAGTCATTCATCAGTATTGTACTTTGTTCCAGTAAACCTAAACCCCACAAAATTGCACCAAAGAACAAGGATGAATGATAGGCCCAAAGACACATTTGTCTACAGCAAAAGGAGAAATAGGCCCAAATCCAATCCAGTATAATAAAGGCTTGTCCTGGTGGCCGTTTTCTTTTTATATCCGTTATCAAGTTGTTATTGCTTTTCTGTTTTGTAATGCTCTCCCCATGATTATGGTAGTGGAATGGAAGATTCTTCCAGGGGAGGGTAGTGTCAGCTTTTTGTCTTTTGTTCCAGGCTTCTTATATAAGTCCTGATGTCTTTTTGTTTTGGAGTTATGTTGAAATTTAATGAAAAGTTCTCTATGAACTCGGGAGAGCCCTCACCTCTATAATTGTGAGAACCTATCCTTTTATAATTTTTGTATGATTTCTAGTATATTGCAAGTATAAGTTATCATTTGGTATCAGAGCACCCAAACCGATTCCATGGGAGGAGCGTCCAGGGAAGCAGCAGCCGTGAAGAAGGTGGAGGAACAGGTGGGGTTGATGCAAGTTCAGCTCCAATCACATGGGACTGAAATCTAGGGGATGAGAGCAAGGATTGACGATATCCTCCAAGGTCAAAGCCAGACAAACCAGAGATAGGATGAGATGCAAACAACCCTGGACAAGGTTTTGGAGAAACTGGATGTCATGGCTGGAGCACCAGGAGGAAGAAACCAAACCCCTCACAATCCATCAAGCCATTCAACACCCACAGGTCCATCGATGAACAAAAATAAGGGACCGACAAGCTCAGTGATCATCGGTTCAGGGCCAGGCGACTCGAATCCAAGCGGAGGAGGAGCACCGAGCGGACTCGGAGGAAACGGTATTGTTTTTGGCTCTCTCTTCCAAACAAACAACAACACGGGGGGTGGAAGATACGAGTTCCAACACAGGAAGATTGACATGCCACAATTTGATGGAACAGATCCAGACGGATGGATTCTTCAAGCGGAGCGTTACTTTGCCATTTACTAATTGTTGGATGAAGAAAAGATAATGGTGGTGGTTCTTAGCTTGAGCGGGGATGCTTTGGCATGGTTCCGGTGGACCAATCAACGGGTGATAATGAACTCGTGGGAGGAAATGAAGGAAGTCTTCTTGAAAAGGTTTCGTCCCATCCATGGGGGGGATTTATACGAACAATGGGCAGCTCTGAGGTAAACAGGGACGGCGGAGGAGTATGTTCGAAGGTTCATCGACTTGTCGGCCACGTTGGAAGGGGTAACGGAACGCATCACCATGGGAAATTTTATTGATGGGCTTCAAGACCACATCAAGACGGAGCTCAGATTATGGACCCCAGACAACTTGGGCCGCGCCATCGACTTAGCCCAACATATCGAAGAGAGGAGCAGGTCGCTTTTTGCTAGCGGATTCGAGTCGTTCGTCAATCTGGGTAACACCAGAAAGGTTAGTGGGGCAAACCCGAATCATTCCATTTCTTTCTCACAACCTGATCGATCGATGGGGAAACCACGACTCTAACGCTACCTCACAGAAGCTCAGATACAAGATAAGAGGAATCGAGGAGTGTGCTTCCGTTGTGACGAACGCTGGTTCAAGGGTCATGTGTGTAAATCCCAGGTGAATGTGATCCTCGTAGATGAAGAGGAACCGCTCATCGAAGACCCTCAGGAAGCAACCGACCCTGCCACCTTGGTATCTACATAGGTTCGACCAGAAATCGAGGTGTCACTTAACTCAGTAGCGGGGTTGTCGTCTCCAAAAACGATGAAGGTCAAGGGAGCCATTGGGTCCCAACCGGTGGTAACCCTAATCGATCTCGGGGCCACTCATAACTTCATTGCATCTCACTTGGTAGCTTCTATGGGCATTTCGATTGACGAGACTGAACCCTACGGGGTAAGGATGGGAACAGGAGACAGTGAGCGCGGAACTAGTGTCTGTAAGGGAGTGGTTTTGCACCTTAAGGAATTAGACATCACAGAAGACTTCCTCCCCTTGAGGTTAGGCAGCTCTGACGTGATACTGGGGATGCAATGGCTTGAAACTTTGGGCGTGACTAAAACCAACTGGAAGGAACAAACAATGGAGTTTGAGGTGAATGGGAGAATAGCCCGGATCGAAGGGGACAAGTCGCTCGGTAAGTCCCTGATTTCTCTGAAGGCCATGGCAAGAACCTTGAGTAAAGATCCTTATGGATACCTAATTGAACTCAGCAACACCGAGTACCAGGTTATACCACCGGACCCTGTGCCCTTATTCTTACAAGACATCTTGAGCCAATTCGAATGCATATTCCAAGAACCCACAGGATTACCACCACCACGAGCCATGGAATACAAAATCATAACCAAGGAGGGTACTACCCCAGTGAGTGTCCGCCCTTACCGGTACCCCCATTATCAGAAGGGGGAAATAAGAATGATTAAAGAGATGCTTCAAGCCAAGGTGATACAGCCCAGTAATAGCCCTTACTCCAGTCCCGTGATTTTGGTTAAAAAAAAAAGCTCTTGGCGTTTCTACATAGATTATCGAGCACTAAACAGGGTTACGGTGCCCGACAAGTTTCCCATTCCTGT